CAACAGTATTCCAGAAAATCATCTTTCCACCTAGATTACCCTCTTATGTACCCTGAGCAAGAGAAAACGATGCCAAGGGATGGAATGAATTCTAACAGGATACTCAAACTTTTACCTCTGGCGAAGTATAGGAAGAAAAGGCAGTCGTCATACAAGCAACTAGGGATAAAAAGACCCAAACGTTTTAAATTCTTGCAGTACTGAGTTTTGGCTGGCTAACTGTTCAGAATACCTGAAAGTCCTGGACACAAAGAAAATTCAGGTTTACCTGCCAGCTATTCCCCACAGGTCTCTGTCAGGTACTCATGAGATAGATTGAAATGGAGGAGACTTGAGAGAGCCAACCACAGCAGGCAACAGGCAAGAAAACCACCCATTTCTGAACTTCTCTTACATGAAGCAAATGCTGCTTGGGGAGAATCAGGAAACACTCCAGCCTCCTGGTCCCAGGGAAAGATCAGTTGCCACTGGAGGAGACAGCAAAAGCTGCAAAATTGGAAGAAAACTTCTTGCTCAAGGTCAGCTAGCTTCAAAGATACAAGTCAGAGCTTGACTGTCAATAGTGATAAAAGCAGAAACATTGAGCAAGCCTTACCAAGTGCAGACAGAGAAAGATTAAGCTAGAGCCCTGCACCAAGTTCCAACCATCAGTCGTCTATTAAGGCAGGAGGAGCAACAGGACAAATACCTAACCCTTCTACGCTACCAGCATAGAGCAATCCACTTCACACTAAGCAGAAAGCAGCAGCCCAGCAATAAAGAAATGTAAAGTCAATGGTATACTGAAGGAACCCAGGTGGCAGAGTGGTGAATCACTCAGCTGCTAACTAAAAGGTCAGCAGTTAAACCCACCAGCCACTCTATAGGAGAAAGAGGTGGTGATCTTCTTCCATAAAGATTATTCTTGTTATTGTTATGTGCCGTTAAGTCGGATCTGACTCATAATGACCCCTCCTTGGGTTTCCGAGGCAGTATCACTATGGAAGTAGATTGTCCAACCTTCCTTCCGAGGAGTGGCTGGTGGGTTTGAACCATCAGCCTTCGGGTTAGCAGTCAAGTGCCTTAGGCACTACAATACCAGAGCTCCTTTTTTATGAGGTAGTTACTATAGTATTTTTTGAAAAGGGATATTTTAGACATGAATTACTGACATACAACAGAGTAGAAAGAACAATGCTTTTGAAGACAGAAGACTTAATTTGAATCTCTAACATTTACTAGTTTAATTACCTTGACTATGTTAGTTAACCTGTTTAAACCTTTGTTATGTCATCTAGAAAATGGTAATAAAAAATATTTTTCTAAATATCATCTTTATAATCCTTAAAATACTATAAAAATATACATAAAACCAAATCATGGATGAATTTTTCAGTTCATTGAGGCTTACCTGGACCATCCCATTTAAAATTATAGTTCCCTACTATAGCACTCCTGACTAACCTTATTCTGCCCCATCTTTTCATAGTACTTACCACCTTACAACATACTCTATTAATTATGTATTTATTAAAATCATGGTTAATTATCTATATCCTACCAATTAGAATGTAAGCTACTCAAAGGCAGAAGCTTTTTTTTTTCCCTAACTTGTTACCGATTTATCCCCAGAGCTCAGAACATTACCTATATATACTAGTAGCTTACAAAGTATTTGTTAAATGAATGCACATGATTAAACTAGGTTACTTTATGGAAAAAATCCGAAAGGGAGCTAACTTTTAAAACTCTAAAGGTACTCACCAACAACTATCCCATTTCTTTAGACTTATGTCAGTGCTTTAAGTTAGAAGAATAAGCTCTGAAAAAAGTATGATCGTCGTTGTTGCTATTGACTGCCATTGAGTCAGCTGCAACTCATGGTGACCTTATGTATAACACAACAAAAACATTGCCTGGTCCTGTACCATCTTCAAGGAGCTCTGGTGGCATAGTACCTGAGGCATTTGACTGCTAACCAGAAGGTTGACTGTTCAAACCACCAGCTGCTCTGCAGAAGGAAGATGGGGCAATCTACTTCCATAAAGATTTATTGTCTCGGAAACCCAAGGGGGGTTGCTATGAGTTGGAATTGACTTAATGGCAGTGAGTTTGGCTTTGGTTTGGTACCGTCTTCACAATCTCTGGTGTGTTTAAGCCCTGTGTTGAAGCCACCATGTCAATCCATCTTATGGAGGGTCTCCCTCATTTTCACTGACCCTCTACCAGACATAATGTCCTTTTCTAGCAACCAGTCTTTCCTGATGATGTGTCCAAAGTAATTAAGATGAAGTCTCACCATCCTCACTTCTAAGGCGCATTCTGGCTGTACTTTTTCCAAGATGGATCTGTTTGTTCTTAGAATCACAAAAAACCAAACCTGAACAGTCAATGGTATGGTCGATATTTTTTGCTTATGCTGTTGTTATTGTTGTTAGGTGCCATCGAGTTGACTCTGACTCACAGTGATGCTGTGGACAACAAAACAAAACACTGCCTGGTCGTGCACCATCTCATAATCCTCGCTATGCTTGAGCCCATTGTTGCAGCCACTT